CCCCATGTCAGTTACTATATGGATTTTTTAAAAAAGGAAGTAAATAAATTATTTTTAAAAAGGGAGATGACTAAACCATAAAAAAAAAAGGGAAGAAAATGGAACCTGTAAACTAAAGTGCCGTGAGCTTGACTTGCTCTTTGCAAAATTTCCAAAATGTGTCATTAAAGGTTGATGATTAGGGAATGCCTGGGAAAGGAACTGCTGATAACAAAGATTCAGTATACTTTCATTAAGAATCCGAATTGTCCTGAAGACGTTGGAGTGACTGTGGAAGCAGAATAGTTCAGATCTTTCACAACTACTTCAAGAAGGATGAAAAAATATCTTCACACTAAGTAATGATCAAGAAATCCAAGGAGAAGCTATAATTTTTGCATTTTGCTAGCTTCTGTTTGCACAAAGAGATGGCCAAAGAACTGTTGTCCTAAGAAAAGGGGTCCAGAGAGAAAAGTGTAGTCCCAGGAGTGCAGTTCATGGAAGCCTTCCAGTTTAGGGACTAAGGGCAAGCCAGGGAAGCCTAGTACCTGAAAGTGCGGCTATCAGGGCATGGGGACCCAGATTCAAGGTCTGGCCAAGGATACCTGGACCGTGTAGCTGAGCTGTCACTCTGACTCCGAACCTGGGCTCGAGACCTTAGGGACTCAAACGAGGAGGGTAAGAATCAGGGTTCACACTGGATCAGATTGATAATGTTTTATATGCCTTCTTCTGTGTGCCAGGCACTATGGTAAATGCTTTACAAATGTTATCTCATTTGATCCTCACAACGACTCTGTAAGGGAGGTGCCATCATCTCCACTTTGGAGTTGAGGAATCGGAGGCTAACAGGTGAAGTGACTTGCCCACCGTCATATAGTTGGTAAGTGCCTGAAGCTGGATTCGAACCCATGTCTTTCTGACTCAAGGCCTAGGTTTCTATCTACTGCTTCATCACTTGCGTGCTAGACTGACCCAGTGTGGTGTGCTGTTGCTATTCCTGAAGTCCTTGAAGGATAGTGTTCATTAGCACACCCTTAAGAATGTAGCACACGACCGAACATGACCCAACCACTTTTTCTAGGAGTACACAGTCTGGTCCTAACACAAAATCCCATTTCAGGAAGTAAGGCTAGAAAAATGAATGAAGAAAAGGAAAAAAATACTTAATTGGAGTAGGAGGAAGTGTCATGGAGCCAGGGACACCCAAGACACAAATGGAGAAAAAAATAATTCCACATCATCTACCAGCGAAGCCTCAAAGAAAAGAAACTTACAGATTTGCCACGAACTCTGCTATAATTCCCAGAAAAAGTGAAGGAAGAATTGAAAAATTATGTCAGTAAATAAGCATGTTTTAAGTGCCAATTTTGTACCAGATACCATGTTAAGTGCTGGGGATACAAAGAAAAGTGAAAGTCTCTGCTCTCAAAGAGCTCTCAATTTAATGGAGGAGGCAGTATTTTTTGTTTGTTTGTTTTGTTTTTGGCTGGGCAGTGGGGTTAAGTGACTTGCCCAGGGTCACACAGCTATTAAGTGTTATAAATCTGAGGCCTGAATTTGAACTCAGGTCCTCCTGAATCTAGGGCTGGTGTTCTATCCACTGCACCACCTAGCTGCCCCTGGAGGAGACAGTATTCAAACAACTATGTGCAAACTCTGTACAAGATGATCAGTGGAGGGAAGGCACTAGTATTAAGGGGGATCAGAAACTTTTTTCTGAAGGTGGAATTTTAGCTGGGACTTGAAGCCGGGAAAGCCATGAGGTAGAGATGAGGAGGAAGAGTATTCCATGCATTAGGGACAGCCAGTGAAAATACCCAAGTCGAGACTTACTGGATTGTATAGTATATTGCAGGGTGGGGAGGTGTAAGGTTTAAGAAGACTGGAAAGCTAAAGGGAGGCAAGTTATGAAGTCTTTGAATGCCAGGGAATTTTATATTTGATCCTGAACATGAGGAAGAGCCACAGGAGTTTATTGAGTAAGGGGATGATACGGTCATACCTGCTTTTTAGGAAGATCACTTTGACAGCTGAGTAGAGAATGGCCTGGAATGGGGAAAGAGTTGAGGCATAGAGACTCACCAGCAGGCTATTGAGACAGTCTGGTACTGAGATGCAATATCAGGAGGGAAGGGAACATGTGCAAGAAATATTATGATGATATTGGCAGGCCTTGGCAACAGATTGGAAAAAGAGGAATAAGAGAATGAGGAGTTGAAGATGACACTGAGAAAATGTTGGTACTTTGGATAGCAGTAGGCAAGTTAAGAGAGGAGAGTTTGGTAGGAAAAAGATAGAGTTCAGTTTTGGATATGGTGAATTTAATATGTCTACAGAACATTCAGTTCAAAAAGTCTAATAATAACAAGTTAGAGAGGAAAATCTGGAGGATAAGAGTGGTTAGGGCTGGATGTGTAGATGTGAGAATCATCAGCATAGAGATGTTGATTGAATTCATGGAAGCTTATGAAATCAACAGGTGATCTCAAGTATAAAGAGAGAAGAGGGCCCGGGATATATAATGGAACAATGGCTGACCTCAACTCTAACCATTTTATGAGGATTAGAGAGAGGGCAGTGTCTCTTAGCACTGCCTTGTCCCTGTCATTGGCAGTTGATATGGGTGGGGATGGCAGATACCTTCTTGACAAGGATTACTCCCAGCTATACAAAGAATTGAGTGTTAAATTTTCAGTGTGAGCATTTACACCTCAGAAAACACTACAAATCAGGGCTTGATTTATCGTTTTGTTGGTTCCCTGTAGACATAAATTGATGGAAACAATGTTAAGTATGCCATATGCACGTTTATTTCTGAGAGTTGATTGTTAAATATTTACCAGACCGTTCATGGTTTATTCCTCTCTATTAAAGCATCAAATGAGGCTGTTAGTCTGGGGAGTCGGAGGGGACACTGCTAAGATCCTTACTAGCTTGAATTCATACTCAGTGCATGCCAGCATGAATCTGCTGAACCATGGTAGAATTGGACTGCATGATGTGTGTATAAATGCGATGCTTTTCCCCTTTAGAGTAATTGAGAGTCATGCCTGTTTATTTTTCTAGGAAAAACTAAGCAAATTCAAACTTTAGATGACCTTGAATCTTAAAACTAATTGTATTCTCTAAAATTGAAGAGTAAATTTTTTTTACCTAAAATTGAGTGTTATTTGTGTGCCCCACTCTTCAGAAAACGTGATGTATGAAAGGCTGAATTTACAGAATAAATGGGGATATGAAGTAACCAAAAAACAGCCCCTGTTCTCAAGGAACTTGTATTCTGATGGGGATAGACAGCACACAAACAACTGTGGACGAACAATTAGAGAAAATCAATAGAGGGAATATAGGGAGACGGTTCTAATGTTAAAGGACGTATCAAGAAGGCTTCTTGTAGAAGGGAGGGTTTTAGTTGTGACTTGAAGCCAGGAAGTACAGATGGGGAGGGGGAGAATTGCAGATATGAGGAATAGATAGCTAGTGAAAATTCCCTGAGTCTGGAGATATGGAGTGTCTTGTGTGAAGAATAGCCAGGAGGCCAGTATCACTGTATCAGAGTATGTGGGTTAAGCATGTGAATAAGGTATAAAAAGATTAGAAAGGTAGAAAGAGATCAAGTTATGAAGGGCTATGAATGTTTGAGGATTTTATATAGTTTTAAGCTTAAAATTGGAAGTGATATGGAGCCAGTGGAATTTCTTGGATAAGGAGGAGAAATAAGGATGGATTGGAATCCATGGGGAATGGATTGGATTAGGCAGAGACTCTAGGCCAGAGAGACCAACCAGAAAATCAAGTGTGTAGCAAAAGTTGAGCAGAAACCTGAGAAATACAGGAGTAAGGAGGGTTTGCTTCTGTTTAGGAGATCAGAGGAGGAAGTGTACTTGAGCTGGACTTTTAAGATGCGTTTCAGTAGGTCTAAATATGATAAGAGGCGGAGAATATGTTAGTCACTATTAGGTTTATTTTGGACCATGAATGAAAAATAGGTAGAGCAGGAGAGATTTTCCTAAAGAAGAGAAAAGGCACTTAAAAGTGTCTCCTACATGATTGTCCAGGAAAGTGGTGGTAGAGCTAAAGGGATGAGACTAGTTATGTGAGACAAAATCTGGGCCGCTGACTAGTGCTATTGATCCAGGACAACTTAGAGAGGAAAAGAGTTTAGAAAATGGTGTGTATATATATATATAGCCTTGGAGGAGGTGGTCAGGAGAGATAAAGTGTATAGATGCTATTTAGCCTTTGAAGTTTGTGTTTAAAAGAGTGCCTTAACTTGGGGAAAAGTTAGCAACTTATGTGGTTATGTGGCTTTAATTTCTAATTTAAGTGTTTATAGGTGTACCTTTTGGATGATTATAGACAGCCTAGTATAGTGGAAATTGAACAGGACTTAAATTTTAGGGAAGCTTGGCTCTGGTTATAACTTTGTTACTTAATAGCTTTTGGCCTTGAGCAAAATCACTTATCTCCTAAGGTATAATTTACTCATCTGTGAAAGGAGGATGGTACCTGTCTGCAAACCTATTCCATATAGGTTTGTTGTGAGGATCAAATATAACTATGCAGAAATGCTTTTGGAAAAGGGCTCCACAAATCTAAATCCTTGCTGCTGATATTTTAAGAGAAGCATATTTGTAAATTAGTTTGCTTTTTTTTTTTTTAATGAGGCAGTTGGGGTTAAGTGACTTGCCCAGAGTCACACAGCTAGTGAGTTTTTATGTATCTGAGGCCAGATTTGAACTCGGGTACTCCTGACTCCAGGGTAGTTTGCTCTTTCAAATCATTAAGTTGAACTTAGATAGTTTTCTATATTTCTGTTCTTCCAAATATTCCTCCATTCTTTCTCTCTTAAGGTTAATATAATAAACAAAGTTCACAAGCTGATGATACAATGAGGCTAAAATTCGTTTTAATTTGTAAGCAGTAATGTTATTTCTTCAACCAGAGGCTCTTAAAACTTGGCAAGTACTGTGTGTTCTTTTATTTCCTTATCCTTGTGTATGTTGTTATTACTTTAGCACACATCTCATGGAGATGGACGTCAAGAAGTTACCTCTCGAACTGGGCGCTCTGGAGCTCGCTGTAGAAACTCAGTAGCTTCTTGTGCAGATGAACAGCCTCATATTGGAAACTACAGACTTCTGAAAACAATTGGAAAGGGAAATTTTGCAAAAGTGAAACTGGCAAGACACATCCTTACAGGCAGAGAAGTAAGTGCTGATTATTACATTTACTTTTGATGTAAAAAAAAAATACAAAGCTACCTTTTGCAATGTGTATATGTATTTGTAAATAAAAATATCTATGATTGCCTGTCTGTTTAAAATGTTAAATGAGTGTGATTCTTCAGTGAATGGTTTTGATAGTTTTCATTATATCATTGATATTTATGTTATATATTTTATGTTACATATGACTATAATACATATTATATATTTTGTCATCTGATGTTTTTTGACATTGGTTTTGCAGATTATGTCTTCATAATCAGAAGTTTAGTCAGCTCTGAAAGTCTTCTTGATGTTTATTGACCTAGGAGAAAGGTAGAACCATGGAAACAGAATAGTTAGGTCAGTTCCTTACTTTTCCTTGTTTCTAAGTCCCAGGCTTCATGGACTAATACTCCGTAATTAGTTGTACAAAATAAATTTATTGAAACAACTCAACTGCTGTTTGACATTAAGGAAACTATAAAACATGTACTTTTCTCTTTTAACCCTTTAATAAAATTCAGTTTATTGATGCCTTTTGTTTTTAAGTCATCTTGAACTCTTCTAACCCTCCTATTGATTCTCCCACCTTATACCTTTTGACTAAGAAAAACAATTAAGTTATAGGCATGTAACAGTGGCCACGCGTGATAGTGTTCTTAATACTCTCCTGTTTCTCTTCATCAGTGGAAAGTTACATTTCATTGTAGTATTTGTTCTCCAGGACATTCATTGTTTTTTGGGTACTTAGCAGTGTAACTTCTTTTTAGAGATCTTTTCATTGACAGTTGTTGTAGTCATTATGTATGCTATTCTTTTGGTTCTGATTGTTTTGTTTTGCATCGGTTCATGAAAATCTTCCCATGTGTCTCATTTGTTGTTCTTATTGCACGTTACATGCCATTCGATTAATATACCATAATTTTTTCAACCATGTCCCAGTTGATGGACCACATTCTTTGTTTCTAGTTCTTGGTTAACATAAAGAATGCTGCTATGGATACTTTGAATCTGTCTTTATGTCTTTGACTTTCTGGGGGTGTATACCCAGTAGTGGGAGCAGCGGGTCAAAGGGTGAGTGTAAACTGTTTAATTACTGTTTACATAAATCCAAATTGACATGCAGATCTGTTAAGAGTTCCATAGTTTATTCACGTGTCTGTTTTCCCACAACTTCTCCAATATTGACATTTCCATTTCTTCTCATTTTTGCCAATTTATACGGAGTGAGGTGAAATCTGTTATTTTAATTTGCATATCTCTTACTGTTAGGGATTTAGAGCATGTGTTCATTTGTAGTTTTCAATAATTCTTTTTAAAACAGTTCGTATATAATTCAACCAGCCAACATTTAAAGAAAAATTAAAAACAATCCTGGCCCATAAGGAGCTTACATTCTTATGGGGCAGACAGTATGTACATAAATAGGTACATAGAAGATACAGAGTAGATAAAAATTTGCTTTAAAGGAAGGAATGTAGAATTGTGGAATAGCTTTTGGTGTTATCTGCACATATTTTATTTTCTGTTTTCAACCCTTTATAATCTGGCTTCTGACCTAATTCTTCCTAAACTTCATTAATGATCTCTTAGTTGCCAGATTCAACGGCCTTATCTTAGACCTCATTCTAAGCCCTCTCCTCCTTGATACCCTTTTCTCTCTGGGTTTTTGGAACACAACTTTAGTAATTATTGGGAAAGCTGCATATAATGTTTGTGTCACATCCAAAAGTGGAATGGTAATGGCTTTACCACTTCCTGGAGATCTTTATGCAAAAATTGAATAACCATTGTTGGAAATTCTGTAAAAAGGATTCTTATTCAGTCATGGGTTAGGCTAAATGGCCTTTGATGACTTTTCCAACTCAGTGAGTCTCCACTGATTATGATTTTACTTTAGGTACCTAGACTATTTGAAGTTGAAGAGATTGTATTAATATACCTTTCAAGCATACTTCTGTATGCATTCAGTTCTGATTTTTTTCCCTGATCACAGACTTTTCCTTTCTTTATTGGTACTTTGGTTTAAGAATGGTAAAATAAAAAGCAGGAGTGACCTATAGGTTAGTTTATATGCATGGTGTTCAAGCCAATGGAGGCTCCAGCTACTTTTCCAGAGGTGGTCTACCATCTAGAAGTGAGTTAACTTAAATCATTTTGGAAATATTGTTGGAAAAGGTGAGGTGGGGTTAGGGAGATGCAGTGTGGAAACATTCGGACTACATGGGTGTTGTACTCACACCTGCAAAATGTAAAAGACCTAGAGGAAGGCCTCTGAGATGGAAGATTATGGACAAGAAGCTCACAAGAGAATACATGGATAGGTTGCAACATCTAGTCATAGAGTGACTACCCTTCCCTTATGTTTAATCTTGTTAACTAGAGTGAGATTTAGTAGTTTGATTACAATAAGTTACTTCTTTACTAGGCTAAAGAAAGCTTGAGATTATAAAACTGCCTCAGGTTTTTTACAGAGTAGCCCCCTTAAGAGAATTATCAATTAAACAGGAGTTTACAAAAATAAAATTACTACCACCTGTATGTTTCTTCCTCTTAATAGTTTTTTCCCATTCAGTTTACTCAATAGTGAAGCCTCTTGCACTTCTCTTGTCCCTTAGGTCAATAGAAATTAGAAATAACTTGCTTACTTTTTAAAAAAAGGGACTTTTTAAGAAAGTGCACTTCATAGTATTATCAGACCTCAAGTTATATTACAAAGCAGCAATCATACAAATGATTTTGCACTGGTTTTAAGATAGAAAAGTAACAATAAACACAATCAGTAAAAAAATAGGAGTCTACCATTTGATAAAACCCCAGATAGAAGATAATCTAAAGAAGTTCATATTTGACAAGAACTGTTGGGAAAACTGGAAAGCAGCTTGGCATAAATTAGGTTTAGATAGTCAGTCTTACTCTGTATACTTCAATAACCTCCAAATAGATATTCTACTTAAAACATAAAAGATCACATCATTTTAAAAAAAATCCTAGAGAATGGAGGTGCTTTTCATAGATAGCTATGGTTGGAAGATAGTTTTAGCCAAAGAAGGGACATAAGTAATTTTTAAAGAACCCATAAATCAGTAAAATGAAAATAAGCAAAAAAATTTGTTGAGTAGGAAAGAAATCTTTATTGATAAAAATATTATTGATAAAATCTGATATCTGTTTGACATCCAAGGTATATAGGGAATTGATGAAAGCATAGCAGATACTGGTTCCACCTCGACAAGTGGTAAAATAACATGCACAGTTTTCAAAAGAGGAATCACAATCAGTAACCATATGATTATTCCAAATCAGTAATAATAGGACATGCAAATTAAAACAGAATTGGGGTTTTGCTTCACATTATATGATTTATCAAAAACATCAAAGAATAGTAAGAGTTTTGGAGGGGCTTTGGATGCATTGTTGGACCTATGAATTTGTGCAACCATTCTGTAAGTATGGCAGATTGTAGTTGTATAAGAAAAGAGATTAAAATGTTCATCTGACCCTGTGATTTTACTACTGTGGTATACCCTGAGGTGATAAAAAGTAGGGGGGGGAAATGTCCAATACATATCAATATTTACAGCAGCTCTTTGTGTTATAGCAAAGAAATAGAAGCAATGTAGTGCCTATCAGTTGGGGAATAACTGGTCATACTGTGGTATATGAAAGTAATAGAATATTGTGCTGTAAGAACTAGTGAATATGAGAAATTCACAGAAACATTAATCAGCATTTATTGTCTTTTGTATGCCAAAATGTATTTTTGTGAACTGATTAAAAAGTGAAATAAGTGGAACCAGTGTAATAATATTAGTGAAAAATGCATTAAAAGAAGCAACTTTAGTGTTACTCTGTTCCAGTCCTATATATTCAGTTCTCTATTAGATGCTTCAGACTAGATATCCTTATAAATATCTCATACTCATCATGTCCAAAAGGGAACAAATAACCTTTTCCCTTTCCACACTCATTCCTCTTCCAGATTTTCTATTTCTGTTGAGGTCACCTCTGTCCTTCTGGTCACCCACATTACCAGCCTTAGTAATTCTCAACTCCTCCTTCTCCCTTACCCTCTAGATCCAATCAGCTGCCACGTCTTGTTGATTGTACTTCCCTACATCTCTCACATTCATTTCCTTTCTTTCCACAGGGCTACCACCCTGATTCAGGCCCTCATCACCTCTCATTTGGAATATTGCAATAGCCTCTGATTTGTTTTCCTGCCTCAATTCTCTTACTTCTCCAACCAATCTTCCATATGGCTGCTAAAGTGATATTTCTAAAGTACAAGTTGACTATATCACTCCTCTTCTCAACGAAGTAATGGCTCCCTGTTGCCTCTAGTAAACTCGTCCTTTTTTTACTTAAAGCTTTTCACAACTTGGCTCCAACTTACCCTTTTAAGCTCTCTGTCACACACATTTTTTTTAATCAATTGATTTTTAGTTTTCAACATTCTTCTGTATAAGCTTTTGAGTTTTAAATTTTCTTCCCAAGACAGCATGCAAGCATATTTGCACGTTAGTCATGTTGTAAAGAAGAATTGAAACCAACAGGAGGAACCACAAGAAAGAAGGGGGGGGGAAAGAGCAAATAGTATGCAAACTCCATAGTTCTTTCTCTGGATAGCATTTTCCATCATGAGACTTTTGGAGATGTCTTAGATCTTTGCATTGCTGAGAAGGGCTAAGTCTGTCAAAGTTAGTCATCACACAGGGTGGCTGTTACTGTGTATAATGTTCTCCTGGTTCTACTTGCTTCATTCAGCCTCAGTCCACACAAGGCTTTCTAGGTTTTTCTGAAGTCTGCTTGCTCGTCATTTCTTATAGCACAATAGCATTCCATTACATTCATATACCACAACTTGTTCAGCCGTTCTCCAATTTATGGGCATCCCCTCAATTTCCAATTCTTTGCCAACCCGTGTAGAGCTGCTATAAATATTTTTGTACATGTGGGTCCTTTTCCCATTTTTATGATCTCTTTGGGATATAACCCTA